CGTATGGACCGGAATGAAGGACCCCACCAGAAGAGACGCCCCACTCATCCTCCACAACGTTTCTAAGCGTTACCGACTTCGCTTCGGCTTCTGGCCAAGTCTCTGCGTCGGTACGTGGCACATAATGGTATTATTGGCACAGGTTCAGAGTCACAGTCCCCGTCCAGGCTCCGGGCGCTCAGCCCTTCCCTCTCAGTCCCTCGCCGGTTCCTCTTCCTCCGCCGGATTCTTTGCTCGCACGTTTGTCTCTTTCTTCTTCAAAAAAAACCGCGCTCCTTCAAAAACGCAGGTACCTACAGGCGTGTTCATTTTTATAAAAATATATTTGGCCCGTAGAACGCTGCTCTTTGAGTCTCCTACTGGTAAACAGAAATGGTAGGTACAGGTAACCCATTATTTTGTTATATTTTTTACAGGTTCACCAATGGAATCCTGTTAAGGGCGAGAAGAAAAACAAAGATTAAATCAGGACAGGGAAATGCATCCTGACTCGCGTTGCCTCTTGGATTCCCCCCAGGAGCCCGGCGGCGTCCCCATCAAAAAAAAAGCTCCGGGGAGCCAGCACGGAGGGGCACAAGCAGTTTGGGGGAGCAGGAGCCAGCCATCGCCCCCTCCCCGGGTGCCAGGCTGTGTTCAGGACCGGGATCACTCCTTCTGCCTGCCCAGAGGAGCCCCAGCCTCGCCAGCCGTGTTCGCAGGGCAGCCCTCCGAGGGGGATGCACGTCTCAGGAGGGAGACGCGGTGGGGGAGCGGTGGGAGTGGCGAAGGGGCTTCGGTGTGCCTCACCGCACACTTTTATCTCCTTGGGGTCCTTGCCAAAGCGTGATTTATTTCTGACCATCCTTGCACTCTGGAGCTTCTCATACTTGGGCTAAGAGCAGTGAGTGCTTGGGCAGATGAGAAGATGATGATGAGCACTAACAAGATTTTCTAAAGTTAAATGCCCTAAAGAAATCAATAGAGAATTGGTTACGCATCAAAAGCAGAGATCCTATTGAAGTTCTTCTTAAGCTATTTATTTGCCGTCTTCTGAAAGATCTCTCCCTACGTAATCTTTAAACCTCCACGCCAAGACAATTACTCCCCATCATTAGCGTGTGGCTGACGTGTACAGCTTTCCTAACCTTACATATAGCTTGATGTCCGTGCTGTGACACGGCTGAGCCTGCCCCAGACCGCTCCCCACGCGCGGGCGTCATGTACAGCAGATCTCTGTGTGTTATTTTCCAAGGGCAGGGAGCGACAGGACAAGGGGTGACGAGTTTAAATGGAAAGAGGGAGATTGAGATGGGACATCAGGAAGGAATTCTTCCCGCAGAGGGTGGGGAGGCACTGGGACAGGTTGCCCAGAGAAGCTGTGGATGCCCCATCCCTGGAAGTGTCCAAGGCCAGGCTGGATGAGGCTTGGAGCAACCTGGTCTATGGTAGGGGTCCCTGCCCATGGCAGGGGGGTAGGACTGGGGTGGGCTTTGAGGTCCCTTCAACCCAAACATCCTCTGATTCTACACAACGCCTCCACACTTGCTGCCCGCAGCGCGCTCACGATGCCCCCAACTCGGCTGTGCCTTCTGCCCGGCCGGTTATCAGCATTTAGAGATGTGATACGCGCTTTTTTTTGTTCAAGGTGGTTTTTTTTTCCCAATGTTATTTTTAAAGCAAGATGCCCACTCCACACCATCTCCACGAACAACACTGAAGTCTTAATTAGCGAGACGGATTTTGCAGAGTCCTTAATCTCCTGCACCGGCGCTGTGTTGGGACTGCTGCTATTCCTCCAAAGACAAGCCTGGGTGGTTTTTTTTATGATGACTCATTATCCGTTAATGTTAATACAAACCGTTTGCTGTTGTTGGGCAGAACGGGGCCAGCACAGCAGCTGCTCGCTGTGTTCAAAGCACAGAATTACCGTACCACACCGTAAATTTTAACAGCCTTGTGCAAAAAGCAAGGGTCGCCTCAACGTTGCCCGCACCAGCACGATTTTCAGGTCTCGAATCGCCACTTCCCGATCAGCGATGCCAAACGTTTACGTAGTTCTGGATGAACGCTGTTTAACGCATGCATTGCAGGATGTGAAATTTATATTGTATTCCAAATAGCCTCTTTGCACAAAGTAGGTCAGCGCTTGATCAACCTCACAGATTTTTGTATAATCCCATTCCATGGGGTTTTTCAGTCAAAGAGAGTGGGATTAAGGCCAAGAATAATGCAAAATCTCAAACTTCATTTCAGAAAGCCCCACGGGCAGTACGAAATCAAACCCAAACAGCTGTGGTGCCCAGCCAAAGCCACTCGAGTCGTCGGCAAACTTCCCCGTTCGGTTGGCCAAACGGTGGCTGTTCCTCACGCTGCGCCGCCCCCATCATCCACCGAGTTGGGGGCAGAGGTAGTGCAGCTCCATAGACCCCTGTGCACACAATCCTCCAGTGAGTTGCCTGGTCAAATGCTTTAATGGACCGCTTTACTCTTCCTCTAAACCGTGCCACGCTGCTGCTGCACCCGTACGCCGCACTGCCCGGCGGCACCGGCGCCCTCCCCCTCGCTCCTCTTGGCACAGGATGAATCTGACCCCAGGAAATAACTTCAACATCTGCTTGGCGTGTAACCAGCCGAGTTTGACCAGGTTTCCTGACACGGCCTCAGCGCTGCCTGCAGCTCTCCAGGCTGGTGACATCTGCTCCCTGCACCCATATCACGCTACCGTCAGCATCCTCAAATGCCAGGATGCTGTCTGGGCACCACGACGTCTGGCTCTGGCGCGGTGCTGATGGGCTGTAAAGTGTAAAGTCCGCACTGAACTCCAACCAGCCTCCCGGGGCTCGTCTAGCCGAAATCTCTGTGCTCTCTGCCCTGCCACCCCTGGCCACATTCACCATCTTGTGCCTCCAGCTCCGACACTACCCATTCTGTAGTACCAATCTGCTTGTTAGACAGCTTAGAGCTGTGATGTGCCACCAGTTAAAACTGGGTAAGTGCTTTGAGCCTTTCCAAAGAGAGAGGAAACCAGTTTAGCGTCCAGCATATGGCCGTGTACCTGCAAAGAGCAGGGAGACTTCATGGTCCCGCTCACCCCGGATGCGGGGGTGCTCCCTTCCTGCCTTCTCCATCCTCTGCACACTCTGGGAAGAGAAAGCCGCGCATAACCCCTCCAGCCAGGAGGCTCCGTGTGCTCTAGAGCATCCTTCCACCTCTGCCAAGATGCACCGGGTCAACATCAACTCTCACCTTCTGGCTGCTACCCTAACAGCCAGCCAGGAATCTGGCCACCCCTCCAGAAGAGATGAGCTCAAAGCAGCTGCTTCTCCTTTTCCACCAGCCTCTCCTCCAGGAACGAGAGCTGGAAAAGCATCCTCCGCCCCACCACCCTCCCTGTGCTCCGCAGCATCTGTCTGGTGACAGCACAAGGCAACCGCGACGACAGGGGACAACCTACCGGGGAGTGATCTCGCTACCACCAGCCACGCCATCTGCTCTCGGGAGGTTTTACCTTACACAGCGACATGCGAAACCTGAAATATTCATTCTGTCTGCGGGATGTCCCAGCTGGCACACAGGCACTCAGGCAAAACACTCTGTTGAGATGCATCTTTTGACTGCCGGCTCCCGGG